AGAATCGCTGGGCTCCCAGTCAGCCCAGCCTCCGGCCACTTCTAGGGGAGCTCGCTCGTCCAGGACCCGCAAGGCAGGCGCCTCGCCCGCACAAGCCGGTCTCTAACGGGGACCGGGACCACCCCCTTGGCGCTCTGCACCCGCCCTCTGTACCTTCATGGGGTCGGCGAGGTAGAGCTTTTCAGCGGCACGGGTGAACTCCTCCCAGGTCTGGTAGTGCGGCATGGCGGGAACAGATCCTCCGGGCCGGCTCAGACTCACTCTCACAACTCAGCACTCCCTCCCTAGCGCACACGCAGCAAGATGGCGCGGGAGGGTGGAGCGAAGCTCTGTATCGCGCCTCTCTAATGGGTGGCAAGAACAGACTGTCCAATCGCCAAGCGCATTAGTGAGAGGTCCCCTCCGCTGATAGCGGAAGTGCGGGAACGGGGCGGGTCTATCCGGCTTGCGGAGAGTCGCTGCTCTAGGCTCACGTGTCACAACGCCACTTGCAGGCTGGCGGGACAGAACTACCCAGGCAGCCTCCTCCTCCCAAAGAGCCCCTCCCGCCTTGCCGCCTGCAGGGGGCAAGCGCATTCATTGGCTACTGCGCCGCCCAATCAGGACGGGAGCTGTTATGCCGATAATAACTGTAAGCCTGAGGCGTGAAGGCGGCTCCTGAAGTCGCTGGTTCTAGTCTCAGGCTGGACGCCGCTGGGGGGCTCAGGTCTGTATCCCTCAGCCCGGCCTCGAAGCTGCTGTATTCTTGCGGGCCCCAGCCCGGGTGAGTGGCAGAGCACGGGTGTGCCGCGGGGTTGGGGCTCAGGCCTGGGGCTGGTGGCTTTGAGTCCCTGCCCTTGGGGCTCCCAGCTGCCGACTCTAGCACCTTCCTGGGGAGCTTCGCAGAGTGGGTGTCTCTATGGCCCCCCCAGCTGCTAGGGTCAGGAGAGTGCGTGAGAATCTGTTCTAGTTCACATCAAACTGTGTTTTCTATCCTTCTTCCTGCAGAAAAAAATCTTGAAACTGTGAAGCGACTACAGCCCCAGGGCTCAGAAAACAGAAACAGACCAAGTTTTGTTTTGTTTTGGGGGGATGCTTGGATCATGATTCTGAAACATTTGGTGTTGGCAATACTGGGCTCCTATGCCTTTGGACTCTATATCAGTTTAAATGCCCATTGCCTCAGGTTTCTGGCTTAGATTTGAACCCTGGCCTTAAAGAAGGTAGGTTCTGCTCTGGGTGAATGATAACATGGGGCAAACAGGATGAAATCCCCGAAGGGATGACATTAAAAAAAAATACGGCCTCAAAGGAGAGAGGCCTTGCAGAAAGATAGTGAAGGAGCAAGGCTGTGTGGAAAATGGGAAAATGTGGAGGGGGTGAGGGAGGGTGGGCGTTGTGGGGAGTGAGCATATGAACTGCCATACTGGATCAGACCAAAGGTCCATTTAGCCTAGTATCCAGTCTTCATCCACAGAGATAATGCTAGGTGCCCCAGAGGGAATGAACAGAACAGGTAATCATCCAGGTAATTGCCCAATCCCAGCTTCCTAGTGAGAAGATGAGGGCTGTGAGAGAGCAAGGTCTGTTGAGAACTGAGAACATGGGGCCGCAAGAGAGCCAAATCTGGATTTAAACATTGTAGTAACTAGCAAACATGATCACAAAAGTTATATAAACCCTGTGAAACGGAAATGGATTTCTTTTAAAGTTGAATATATTTCAAGTTTTCCCAAGTTGGAAGGCCCCTCATTAAGCTGGAACTTGGCTATGTGCAGAATAGATTTTTTTTTTTTTTTAACACAAATCACTGGTTTCTCTGTTTAGCTCAGAGACACATCAGCCACAGCTATTTCAAAGGCTTGACTTGCAGCAGACACTGTGTCTCAGGCTTAAACTGAAATTAAAGCTGCTAATTTCAGCAAGAGACTAGATGTTATAGAATTATAGTGCTCCTTAGGGACTCCTTGTTTTTTTTTTTCTAAATTCATTTAACACTGATTAATTTTAATTTAAAAAAGCAGGAACAATTATTCATGTTTTTCCCTGTTTAATTTTTTAAAAATTTTATTTTTCTTTGGCTTACTGATCTGTGATTGTTACCCCCTAATTGCAGAGGTAGATGCCATGGCCCATCAGATTGCTTCCTTAGACCTGCCCATGTTATAAAGCTCATCTAATTGCCCTTTTAGAACTAACAAACAAGCAAAAATAGTAGCGAGCTATTATCTGCCTTAGGGAGATATACTTAAAACCCAAAACTCCCAGATCTGAATCACAATGGAAGCTGTTATTTCAGGTTACTTATATTGAAATGAACAAACCTCAGTCGTGTGGCCATGTAAACAACTAGGAAAGCAGCTAGCAGTGCAGGTCTACAAATATGAGAGGACAAATTAACCAGAGCAGCTCCAGACTCCACTAATAAAATGAGGAAATGCTAGCTGTGGTTTTGCTGACCATAAAAGGAAGGGTGTGGGGGAGGGTTGCAAGGGAAAGAGTGGGAGACTTGGCAGGGGAGGAAGAAGGGAAGACTAAGGAGGAATATATTTCTCTGAGTCAGTAAATCAGATTAGTTGGTTGTTACTGTGGAACTCAACTGTGGAAGAGCCTTTAGTACTTGTGCTGCCACAAGTTAATAAATTGCTACTGTGAATATTATATGTAGTATCTAGGGTGACCAGATGTCCCGATTTTATAGGGACAGTCCCAATTTTGGGATCTTTTTCTTATATAGGCTTCTATTACCCCCCACCCCGTCCTGATTTTTCACACTTGCTATCTGGTCACCCTAGTAGTATCAACAATCCTGGTGGAAAGGGGAGAGAGTATGCAACAGTGAGTGAAGGCGATGTGTAGAATAAAATCTTCAGCCTAATTTTTTCAAAGGTGGCCAGACTTTTGGGTCATTTTCAAGTACTCAACTTCAGATACCTTGGGTCTGACTTTCATAGGTCATGACCAACTCAACTCTAATTGAACAAAGTGGGTGCATTGCTGGGGCCTTAGCAGACTAGACAGTCCAGCCCAGATGGTCTGATTCTCTACTATCTTGCATCTTGTATAGTCCTTGATAGCTCTGCAAAGTGGGTGTAAAAATGCTACCATTTTGATTTGGTAGTGTTTTATGCCCACTGAAGAGGTGGTAATGATTACACAAGGTGTAAGACAGTAGAAAATAAGGCCAAAAATATGTAACATTCTGCAGTTTAACCTCCCACCAGATTTAGGCCAAAAGTTTCAAAAGTGGCCCTTGATTCTGTGAGCCTCACTTTTTCGGTGCCTGGTGTGCATCACTTTAGGTCTAATTTTCTGAGGTGAAGTCAACTGAACCTGTAAGTGTTCAGTTCCTCTGAAAATCAGGCCCAATTATTTGGGTACCTAAAATCAAAGGTTATTTTTGAAAATTTGAGCCCTGGTGAATGACCTGTTCCAGGTATATAATCTGCCACTTCACTGTGTTGTTTTAACTTGTTTGGAGGCCAGAGTATTTTCTTGCTGTGTTTGAAACATAGTCATAACTTTGAGCTTGGCAGTTATTTATTTATAAATTATATTTTTGAATGTGTCCAAAACTGCCCAAGTAATCTCCAGTGAGTACAGTGATAGATATGAATCCTAGAATTTTTTCTGTAGGCTGCCTGTCTAGTGAAATGTAATATATATTGAACATTCATGTCTGTTGAGCCAATAATATTTGAGTACTTCGGAATAAAAAAGCAGCTCTATTTAAAAATAAGACACAAGTATTGAACTTCCTTTTCTTTTTTGGCCTCCTTTCTTGAATTGTGTTCTTGTGTACTTTCCATTTGAAAACTTATTCTACTGACTCTGACTCTTCCATCACTGTTAGGAAGTTGTATATGATATGCAGCCTCAGTTTTCCTTTCTCAGTCTCATTTAATGTATCCTTGCTATAGTCTCTTATACCACCTTAGATAATGCCTTTCCTTCCTGGGATTTTGTGCCATGAGAAACTGTGAAGAAATAACGTAAGCACTGGTGTAGCAGAGTGGATCTCACATGTGATTTTCCCTCAGGCCTTCTCCTTTCATCTAACCTGCATGTGCATGATTAACGATGTCTCTTAGAGCAAGCTTCTACATGCCTTGCCACTGCAAGTTCAGCTCTGTATAGTTATATTTCTGTATCTGAATTCCACATGGTGCGTTCTTTGTTTTATGTCTACCACCTTCCTTGTCATATGTAAAATGTTGGGGGAAAAAGTAGAAAAAAACGTATGTCATCACATTTTAGGGTCTGATTCTCAGAGATGCTGAGCTCCCACAGCCCCTACTGACATTAATGGGAGTTGCAGATACTCAGCATCTCTGAGGATAAGGCATTTGTTTTCCCGTTTTTCATATTTTATGCTTTTGTCTAGACTAAGAAGCAGGTGCCATGATCCCATGTGCAAATATATTTTTCATTCCTGGATAGAGTCCAAATGATTAATTTCTGGAGCTTTGGGGTAGAACTTAATGCTCTTTTCTGTCATTGCTAAAACACTGCTACTAGACCAAGCAGGCTCTTCATTGTACGCTATGTTGTTACATTATGGATGTGAATAGAAACAATAGGCCAAACTCTGCTCTTAGTGACACTGTTGTAAATACAGAGTCACTATTTTGTGCATATAATGTTGTAACTTAGAGCAGAATTTGGTCTAGCGTGGCTGATCTCACACCAGGAGTAATGTGAACTCCATGAAGTTATCTGGGTATAAAAGAGCAGAGAGACTAGAATCAGGCCCAGTGACTTTGGACACCTATAGTAGAATGAGGCGCTACTAAGGAAGTTAGAATAAGATAATTATTACAGCCTAGAAACTGGTTCATGTTTAAAGTTGACATTTTCACTTTTGTTCATGATAGGTCCAATCCTGCTCCCATTGACGTTAATGGCAAAACTCCGGTTGATTTCAATGAGAGCAAATCGGGCTTGGAGATCTGTCATAGAAGCCAGTGACCATCCCTTCTGTTAATTTGTGTATACTGTAATGCACCATGGGCTTGAACTGATCTAAACATCAGTCTGGCAAGGCCAGATTTTCAAGGTCTTTGGGGCCTAAAGATGCAGCTGAGCACCTACTGGGATTTTTGAAGTGTCTAAGCATGTTAGGTGGCTAACCTGCTTAGACGCTTTTGAAAATCTCAAAAGACCTCTATGAACTTTTAGGCACCTAAATATCTTTGAAAATCTGGCCCACAATCACAAGCAACCCAAGCTCTGTGGTGGTTTATAACATGGACAACCAAACCGTAATTCCCTTCATTGCACTGCTCCTGAAGGAACACAGGTATGTGCTGCACCTTTCTATGGGTTGTGTCCTTGAATCACAGTCTTGTCTGAGCAATTACTAAATAGAGACATTTATTAATTATATTATTAAATAAATAAATTACTGATTTTTCACTTCTGTAGCATCAATCATCTGAGAAGCTCTAAGGACTTTACACCAATAATCAGAGTGGTCTTACAAGATAATTAAGTATTGCTATAGCCATTTTACAGATGCTGAAATAAGACACAGTGTGGTTGTGACTTTCCCAAGGTCACACAATAAGTTAACTGTAGAGGTAGGAATAGAATTCAGGAGATTTGATTGCCAGCCTTTTGCTCTAACCACTAGACCTTTGTCATTTAATGAGGTGATTTTGCATAATATAATTGCAAGGATTTGTAGGCACATATTTGAATAGCCATTGAAATGTCAAGGGATGTATCACCACAAATGCATTTCAGCCTGCCGTTAACGGAAGTTACTCTTTCACTTTCTGGGCA